ATTCCTGGGTGCAGCACAAAGACAGCGTAGAAGTGTCCTTCAATGGCAACAGCAGTCATACTATGCAAGTTCTAAAAAGTTTAATAAAAAAGTTTTTTTCCAAAACTAAATGCTAACCCTACGTCCAAACCAAGAACTAAGAATCCAATTTCTATTGCATGCTTAATATATTCACAGTGGTATAACATTTGAGCAGCCAGAAAATAAGCTGTTTGTCTCTCTAAAAGACCATTTTCAACATTTAAAATATTTTTCCTTCTAAAGAAACAAACAAACAAAACTGTTAATGGCATATTACTAATTTAGTGGCTTGGCCCTAAATGCAAGTGGCCAATATAAGATTTGTATCTTTATACAAAATTCAGTTCCTAGCACCAAAAACCTGTACAAACAAGTAGTCTTCATCATGAAACAAACTATTTGCAAAACGATAGCTTCTTTGCCTGCATGAAAGTTTCACTCAGTCCTATGCCAAGGATCAGCAAGTTTTCACATTTTTGTGAACTGTTCAGCAGTGTGCAAGGTATTGCACTTTGTCAAATGTATATCATCATCTTCCAAGGAAGAAAGGAAGCAGGTTTGTACTTAGGAAGCAGGAAGTGACATGGACTTCTTAAACACCCTAAATCCTTTTGCAGGCCCTGGGTATGGTGGCGGTGAAACATCACATCTTCCATCAACTGCCACTGCTTGTTCATAAGTTGGAAGTCCCGATTCATCTGTTCTTAGAGGAAGTGGATTTAAAGATACTTCTTCATGTCTTCTGAAGACAATAGATGAATGGCGTCTTCTACTCCTTACATAGTTGGAGTATCTAAACAAAGTCAACAATATTATAACACAGTGAGAGAAGAGGCTCATGTAGCTTTTTCTCAAATAAGATTACAAGTTTTCCTTTTTACATTAAACAGGCTGGGCCAAATTTTCTTTCTATAGCACAGGCTGGGAAACAGTTAGATGTTGGGTAGAATCTGAAAAAACTGTTGCTACTTTACTGTGATAGCTGGACAGGTTTCTGTAATCCAATTGGTCACCAATCCTTGTCTATTTTGGATGGATAGTATGATCCACAGAGTCTAGTTCCTGGTCCCAGCTAAGGTAGGCTGCACTTCCATGGCCTTGTAAAATCCCATTTTCCCTAAAATGCAGAGCTGTACATGTCTAAGTAGTATAGGGCATCAATTTTTATGGGAATTGAACAGGATTTCCTTCTTTCATCTGGAGAACAGGTCCCTTAATGGCAAGGGACAGTTACATAATATAAAAATATTGTTTGGATGCAACTTGCAAAGAACTGTTACTATAAATAATTAAACTGATTACTGCTATGTAATATGTATGCTCTTTCCTTCCCTTTTGTATTAAACATTTCAGAGAAAGTATTAATGCCAGTTTCTTTCCTTGATTCTCACGAAAATTAAGTCTAAACTTTCTATACATATTTCAACTGACTTTCTTCAGTTGAAAAAAATGTGTACGAGAATTTGAATTTCACAAATGAACCAAATTCAGTGCAGATTTTTTAATCTTGAAAGCTAGATTTATGGGATATTTCTGTATCCTCTATAGTTTACATATCAGAAGTAGAAATTAAGTGATCCCTTTGTGCTGTTTATAAGAACTTATAAGATATTTTTAAAGAAAGACATTAAATGAAGATCATGTATATAATTAATTCTGACCAACTCAAATTTAGTGGTTTGCTTATTGGCATACATGCAAAATTTGTGTGTTCTTTTAGAACCATGGTTAAAAGATATTTTAGCACTCTGTGAAACATGGGTGATATCTTCGTTCAAGAATAAAAAGACTGTCTATTGTGTATTTTCTGATATTCGAGATTAGGTTAACTCTATAGCCTTATACCAGGGTGGTATTTTCTAAAGCATTTAAGCATTGAACTAAACCTATCCCTCACTGAAGTCAATAGTAAAACTGACTCCAGGGAGAATGGAGTTAGGCCAGTGCAGACTGACCATCAAATTCAAATCCTAAAATTGTTAAAGTTTTCCTCTGGGAACAAAGAGGAATATTTTCAAATCCTTACCCTGGTGGTTGCCTTGATTTGCATCTACTTTTGCAAAAATAGTAAAGTAGTAATCCAGTTAAAACCACCAGCACTCCAGCAGCAACTAGGCCAATCAGAAGTCCAGTAACATCAATCTTCTGTAATCCCTCACCGTCTAAAACGGAAATAAAACATATTAAATTTCAGTCAACTAATCCTTTAGGATTAATAAGTTTTGTTAATAGTCACAACACAGTAAGATTAGTTATGGTAGTTCCTTTCTTTAAGTCTTGTCTGCTGGGTGAAGCTATCGCATCAGTCTAGTACTACTCAAAGACATTATCAAATGCAAAACCCAACATAAGAATAATGTTTGCTCTTTCAACAGGTTATTTATATGTATATTATTTAGATGTCCTCCTTCCTATTTTTTTCCCAAATGTTGTTTCACACACTTTTTTGTCTTTGATTAGATGATTAGAAATTCAAGGGAGGATGCTGACTTTCATTTTGTTTGTACACCACATGGCATGCTGGGCCCCGGATCCCATTTTTAAACACAAAATAAAAATAGAAACAGGCAGGAAAACTGCAGTTGAAGAGTTTACATGCTGTACAATAATGCAAAAAATGGAGTGTCACAAACATGCATAATAATCCGTGTTCTAAGGGTCAACCAAGAACAGGTCTCAAATGTGCTAAATTTTGTATTTAGTTGGGAGCCAAATAATGCATTAGTGAGTGTCAGCTGATGCTGTATTTACTTACATACCACATATCCCAAAATACACTTTGTTCTGGGACAGAATGAAGAAAAAGAGATTTTTCAAGAACCTTACTGGCCGAAGCACAGGTTCACCATGGCTAAATGTTGGTCACTCAGTGTCACTCACCCTTATATGGCAGCTCCACAGCTAGGAGTGTTTAACCTTCTCACAGCTGTTGCTGAATTGGCAGCAGCTTTTGGCTGCTGAGCCAGAGGATAAGTGACACTGAGGAGTAGACTCTGCCCCTCTTGCAGATGGCTGACCACGAGCCTAGCACAGACCCAAGCTCTGACAGCCATTCTAGCATTCCCATGCCTATATTCTAGCACTGAAGTCTTTTTTTTTTTTTTTGGCGGAAGACATGGAACCCAGTTTTAGAGAATAATTTTTTGGTAGGGGGAAGAGTGCATGATGTAGTGAGTAAGGGCTTTATTTTATACTTATTTTGAAGACTTTGACCTTTTAACTGTCTGAACCTCACCCAAGTATATGAGACCTGCAGTAGACCTATTTTGTAATTTATAAGATATATAAGAAAAATAAGCCAGGAATAAGCCTTGCTATAAATGCTGACAGCTGCATGCTTAAAGATCAAGTGACTGGACATAATGACCAGAATATCTAAAAAGGGGTTACAGTAGAAAAAACACATTAATTGCAACAAAAAAAAGGAAAATTATGTAGATGATCACTTACTGATTTTTGTACTGGGATCCTTTTTTGAATATTCTTTCCAAAACTCCATCTATAAAAGTAAGTATTTTTGAAAGATATAGGTTATATGCAATATCTTAACTGTTAAGAAATTAACAACATTAAAACAAGACACTAAGGCCAAAAATCACGATACAAATAGGAACAACTCCCACTAGACTCAATAGGATTTTACCTGTAAACCCCCTGAAGTTTCAGTTAATAAAACCATCATACTGGAGTAAGCTCAGATCCCAGAGGCAAATGCCACCCATTAAAATATAGCAAAAAGACAAATGAAGGACACATCCAACTGTGAAATACTACACTTAAAAGGACATTTTTTCCCTGATCCCAGTTAGTAGATAATTTACATCCCATACTAAGAAATAAATGGTGCTTATAATCATTTATCCTAATTAACCTACAAAGCTTTTCGTCTCAATAACCCCCTGCAGTAGTGAGTTCCACAAGTTAAATTATAGGATGCACATAAGAAAATAACCTTATACAGTGCATTCCTTCCTTTAGTTATACATTAAGTAAGTCCGGAGTGTTACTAACCGAACATCCAGATTAAAACAGTCATGTCAAATTCTTAAGGAAATTCCAGGTAATGTAAACTCCTGTGGCAACACCAGGACGGAGAAGTGAAAGAGGCGAGTGCCCTGCATGAGGGGTGAGCACCAGAGGCAGCTCAAATTGCAGTACCTACAGTCCTCCAAATGACTGAATCTGACCCCTCAACTGAGTGATTAAGGCAGAACAGGGGAAGAGTTAGAAGGCTTCTTGAATCTTTTCTTCCCCATGCCCTAGGTTTATTTTATTCATGAAAGCATTATCTTGTACACAAGACTCACCGTTCATGAACCTGCAACATAATCACTACCCTCTTCAAGGTATTTTTTTCATGTCATGGCAATCAACAATTAGGACATGGGGATAGTTGGCAGTTTAAAATGCACATAAAAGTAGTATGCATTTGACTGTATTTCTTCCCTCTTAGATCATTCTGAAGATATTCTGTGGCTCCGTTTGTAAGTATTTGCAGAATTGGACTCCCTGATAGTAAGTTTCATGTGGCATATACCATGTATCCAAAGGTCTTTACTGCAAAGCTAGCACAAGAGAGCCCAATTAGGGCCGATGGATTTACTGTAATATAAATAATCCTGACAATCACCTTTTCTGAATTTCTTGTGAATGGCTGCAACAGTTTTAAACAAAACTGTCATCTACTGATAGCCACCCAATATATTAAACAAAACAGAAACAATTACCGTTTTATCAGGATCTACAAAAAATTCTCTTGCTTCCTCATAATTGCACAGTTCTTCAAAGCATTCTCTTTCTATATCACCAGGGGTAAATACTTCAAAATCAAATCTGTTACTTAGAAGATGTCGTTTCAGGAACAAATTGGCTTCTTTTTCTGATGCGAATACTAGTTAAATCAAAAAAAAAATCATCAAGTTAATTTAGAACAGTTAAATTGCAGAGACTCATTCTAATATTTTTAGAGAACTCTAGAATTCATAGGCCCCTAGCAGACTTTACCCTTATTGCATAATTAACCTGTTAATCACATGACACATTGCAACATACCATATATTCAAGCAATTTTTGGCACCATAAAAAATGGCAAAACTAGTCACAAGATGTTCAATTAAATGCAGAACATCCCTGTGGCTTATTTGTATGGCTCTTCATTTTGAACATGTGGCATGTTCAGCTTTGCTCTACAGTCCTGCGTGTGGGGCTGCAGAGCCAGGCAGTTAAAAGTGCCGATGTGCTTCCCCTATGCTGGCACATTTCCTGCTTTGCTCTGCTGGCACAGAGGGAGCCCTTTCATCAGGACTGGGTAGGGGGCATCCTCCAGGTTTAGGATACAGCTGCCTAATACCCCACTGGGACTGGGTAGAGGGTCCTGGTTTGGGACTTGGGGCTGCTCCCACTGGATGTCAATTATCCACGGGGTGGCTATGTCCCAGATCCCAGGACTGTCCCATGATCAATCCCAACCATCAACTGATTGTGGGGATTGGGTGCGGGGCAGCTCTGGGGACCCCATCTGCTGGCAGCTGTGTGATTGGAATTAATGGAATTTTACATCCATCCCAAAAAAAATAATGCATCCTGCCATGCACATCTCACGTGGCAATTTGCATGATTTTGGGGATTCAGCACAAAATTCCTCAGATCCCAATGGCACAATTATACTAACATCTGCTATGGACCCTGGTAACATCCTAAAAGAATTTAACTCCATTCTTGACTCTCTCATTTCACTCAACAGGAGGCTTTAAAGCCTCCTCCTGCAGTAATTTTGTTGCTACCAGAAGCATTCTCCTTCTGCCTATACAAATAATAATAATAAAAAAAAAAGCAATATAAATATTTTCTGCCCCTTACAGGTATATTTTAGATCTTTCCATAGCAACTTAGCCCAAGCACCAAATTCTGCAAGCTGTCTGCCATGCATGTCACTACAGGTGTGGTATTAGTACTCTTAAGATAGCTGAAAGCCTTCTTCTGCATCCCAAAGACCCTGTAACATTTTGTCACATGCAACAGATACCCAAGCAGATCCGGACTGACTTAGATCAATCACCTACACTTTGCAAAATTGTGTTCTCTGTACTAATAGTTGTGTTCTCTAGTACTTTTTTAGTAATTTACTCTTCATGTATTCTGGTATTACTGTTTCAGTCTTTGTTTTAAAACGGAGTTTCTATCAGCACACTATACAGTTCCCATTTATTCTACTTTGGGTAAAACTTCAATTTACCCTTGGATATTGTTTCTAAACCATCATAACTAGGGCGGGAAAAGAATAGAGAGGCAGGGACAGACCTAGGAGGGCTGCAGTGGTGCAGTTGCACTTCCTTTTGATTCCTTCTCTACCCCAACTTTAAAACCAACTGCTTGCCAGGGGAGCGAGGGGAGGGGAAGAGTGGCACTTCTATTCAGGCAGCACTGAGGGTGTCAGTCAACTCTGTGGCTCAATATAATCTACCCATTCCTTCTAATGTCTCTTCATTCCACAGGTGTTTAAGACCCTCTCTCCTTTTTAAATGGTCTTAATGTTCCACTACTTAGGTTATCCATTCTGCAATGTTGTTGCTTGTTAGCCATTTCTGGTAATGTATCTCCTCTGTTTCACAGCCCTGCAGACTGTTTTAGCTCTAGCTAAAAACCTTAACTCAGGTGTAGAAATGATTGACAATGAAGTATTAGAGGCACTGTCAAGACATTCAAGAAGACTAAATTTTGTTTTACAAATCTGAATAAGGGATGAGCATTTAACAATAATGATTACAGGACTAATAAAATGATATCTTTTTACTATTTTGATCATTTTTGCATAGTTTTTCTGTTTTTTAAACCCAATATATAATCTGGTTAATTACTGAACATTTCAATGAAGTTATATTTGATTTGCTTTGATCTTAAACTGAATAATATAGAAGTAGGCTCCTAATATATTACTCAGTTGAGCTTCTAGTTTCTCCTTAACTGGAGACAACTGTGTGTCATTTTATATTCAATCTGCACTCCTCTTTTTGTAATCCTAGATCCACTCAGGG